TTACTTTACAGTAAACATTATAAGGGGTGTCAGAAGTCATAAGAGATGGATTCATCATTACAAGAAATTTTGGAGCAGTTAAATAAGTTGAGTGCTGTTCAAGACATATTGATGGCTTATCCACAAGATCATGAAAAGAACACAAGTGTCAGCCAAGACAAACTGGTAGAAGAATTAAAAAATGTAAGAAGCACTTTTGAGAATCAACTCATAGAAGACGTACGAGCTTGCCAAGAAGAATAAAAATGCGAAATAACTGTCCTAAAGGCAAGCCAGAATGGTTTTTAAGTATCGATAACAGACATGGTAGAGAAGATGCTGAAGAGCATGAAAAGATGAGGGTAATCAAGGAGTCAGACAGCCCTTGGTCTTCAACCACCCTACTCATCAGGAAGAAGAACAGAGTCCTTCAGTTCTATGCTGACTACCAATGACTGCTTCCCAATATCAAGGTCTGACAACACCCTGAATATGATTGCTGCATGAGAGTCATACTGAACCCTGGATTTGAAGAGTTGTTCCTGGCAGGTTGCCTTGCACCACAGAGAGGAGAAGACAAAACGGTCTATAGCAGGCAGTGGATGTGGCAGTTCACATTTGAGTTCTTTGGCCTTTGCAATGCTCCAAAAGTATTCAAATGCCTGATAGAATCCATCCTGTGGGACATTTGTTATGAAGCTTGCCTGGCATTTCTTCATCATTTGATCATTGTTGATTGTACGTTCCAGAAGCAGCTTGATAACTGACAGAAAATGCTCCCGAATATCCAAAGGCTTCATCTCAAACCGAAATTTTGAGAAGTTCCAGCTACTCCGGAAAGGGTAGGACCTGGGACATACTAAATAACTGAAAAGGGTGACCACTGACCCAAAGAAGCTGAAGGCTGTATGGGAGTTTTCACCACTGAAAGACAAACTTGGTTTGACCATTTACTGCTGGAGGTTCACAGCTAGATTTATGGTCATCACAAAACCACTGACAAATCTCATGGAAACAGTGGATATTCCAGTGATCTCCAGAAGCAGAAATTACATCTGAAGAAGTTATTATGTATGGTAACTCTCCTGGGATATCCCCAGCTGCTGAGTTCATAGTCAATGAATGTAGGCATGGGAGGAGTGCTCTGGAGTCGAGAGTGTAGTGAGTCATGAGACTGCAGTTAACAGTTGGGAGACAGACCCAGCAGAGGTTGTTGCAGACTCGCTCCTGACGGATGTTTGGAGGGCGGAGGAGCACCTATTGTTGTAAATCAATCTGTAGCAACTTCGAGTTAGATGATAGAGAGTTGTCGGCCGGTAAAGACATGAATACAGAAGCTGAGGAAGTCATGGCATTTGAAGCCTTTATCAGGTGACCAGTGAAGACACAATAACAAGCTGAGAAGATTTAGTGTGTGTTGCACTGTACTGTAGAGTGTATGAATTAGCGATAGCTCCATAGATATAGGTAGTTACAATCTGTCAGAGGACAATAAATCTGATTACCAACCCCAAAGCCGTCTATAGCCACTCAGTCATGTGACAATATAATAACACTGCAGGGAGCAAGTAGGTGTCATACGAAATCATGAGGCTGACCATGTCTGCAATATAGGACAAGACAAAGCCAGACACAGAAAACATAAGTGGATTAAACTCTAGCTATACCGAACTGCTACAAGATAGCGACAACATCAACACAGGGAGCAGCCCGTACACATATCATCATAAGAAAATCTAATATACATTACTCCAAATAAACAACATGTTGGGTGACGTACAAAATAACGAGCATAAGCTCTACAAGACGTTGGTAAGGTCAAGACCACATGACCTAACTTATGTGAGAAGATGCCGATACATAGGTGCCCCACACTATAGTCGCTTCTGCCACCAGAAATTACGACACATAGCAGTCACAAATTTTTAAAGAGATTTATCACAAAATATTTCTTTTCCATTGTATATGCCTTGATCTTTAGTCTCTAATTTTAAATTTCATTATCAAGTATTTTAAAATTTTAACTGAAAGACTCAATTTATGCATTTAAAAACAGTCAAGTGCACAATAAGAATCCTTATTGAAGAATTAGATGCAAATTGTTAGCAGCAATTCAACAACTGAATTTGGTATCATTGCACGCCTGATGATGACCCAGTATAAGGGTTGAAACATATAGAATCAGTAAAAACAAATGGTGTTACGATAGCATCTACTTTGTTTTAAATGCAGAATATTGATGTGTAGACTGCATACTTTTGTATACATTTTATGAACTTTGTTTATAACACACAACAGGATGCATACCATTAAGACTTGGTGTATGCTGTAGTGAGAAGCCAAGTACTTGTATTGGTGAAATCCAGTTACTGCTCCACACCCTGTGTCCAGTCATTAACATGTTACTATATTTATTTATTTATTTATATACCTTTGACACCAACTTCAGTATGCCTTTCTGACTGCTTGATCATCTCTACTGCAAGACATCAGTAGGACATCATCTACAGAGCATCTGTATTGTCACGTGTAGGGTGGTGCACGTGATGAGAATGATGGGTTCTAGTTTGGATGTAATATTTTCATGTACAGAGCTACGGTTTCGAAACAGGACGGGAGTTTTAACTTGCACACAGTTTATATTGTCACGTGTAGGGTGGTACGCATGACGGGTTCTAGTTCGGATATAATGTTTTTGCGTACAGAGCTACGGTTTTGAAAGCACATGGGAGTTTTGACTTGCACACAGTTTATATTGTCACGTGTAGGGTGGTGCACGTGATGAGAATGACGGGTTCTAGTTCAGATTATTGGATTTATTACCACTTTGGCTACAACCTCTCGTAATCACACTTAAATACAGACAATACAGTGCTACTGCTGATTTACACACTTTCCATTTCACTGTTGCACACACACTAGGATTTTCCGTCTTCACTAGTCTTCTCCTGGCAATGAATCTCAACACAGAAACTATTACAGTCTCACTGGGTTACACATTCAAGTACTACACAGAAATAAGGTCTTCCAATCGCATGACAAGTCTTCACATGAACTTTCTGTGTTTATCTTCCACTGAGAGCTCAGAATTTAGACCTGGACTTAAAAACTGAAACTTGTCAAAGTCAGAGTTGAAGTTACTTTACGACTGGTGGTTTACCGCCAATCAATTCGTCTTGGTACCAGGCCGAGTTTCATGTTGACCTCCAGCCATGGATTAATATTTCCTGTTTCACAGAAGATTTTAATAAGACAAAAAGCATTTGTTGAGGTGGTTCAGTTTTTCAGGATATCTCGCAATGTACAGCTGCTGTCCTCTGACCACATTCTTTCCACATTCACACTAGACAAAGAGCATTTCAACTTTTTATTCATAACTGTATACTACGATTCAAAGTTTTAACACAAAAGTATTCATAATACTGTTGCATGAATGACTGAACAGTATGCAGTATTACTGCTTAGTGAGTTGCTGATTGACATGCAGACTTAATCTGCAGAAAAAATAAATTCATCATGGTATATCAGGTCTGCCTCCACTAATTTTGTACTCTTTCCTGCTTTGCAGACCAAACATGCAAAAGTAATTACTTTCCACCCTAACGCTGTATTTGCAACGGTAGTTACACCAAGTATTTTACTTTCAAATTGTCACAATAAATAAAGTAAATAGGAACTAATTTGAAACTCTTACTATAGATTGTTACTTGTTTATTTTCCATCACATTTTATTAAATTTGTTTCCTTTCCTTCTTTTAACCACCTTTCCATAATTTTGATTCATTTCACTCTCAAAATTATTTTGGCATGTAGAAATTTTTGTCAGATTTTCAGGAAATATAAGAAGTAACAGAAAACTGATTACTTTGAGTCATAAAAATTCTGCCAACTATCTTGTGCTAATATATTTTACAAAACAAAATTGGAAAGAATGTACTTTGTGATATAATACACTAAATTTCTTATAGTGTCCTTGTGGTTTATTGAAATTATAACTAGTTGTGAGTGGTTTTTAAATGACATTTCAGCAAAATAAAAAAGGTATAAGTTAAAACAAGCAGAATGCTTATTTCAGTGGCATAATAATGCACAACACTGAATAAAACAGAATCTCTAAAACCTGTATGGGACACTTGGAATTGTATATTTATGGCTTTATTTAAAGTATGTTATGTAATCAGTTAAGATGGATAAAACTAAAAATTACTAACGTAATGCAAAGATTTTAAAAACAATTTTGAAAAACAATTTATGATGGACATCAAAAAGCTCATTCAGGAGCTTATGTGAAGTATGTTTTGTATATCAGCATTTCAGTATACCTAAAATCAAGATATCTTACTAAAGTCATCAAACGTTTCTCAGCCAAATTTAATAAAACCTAATTCAAAATTTATACTGTACGTGAAAAAATCTATTTATGACTATGTCGCAGGCTTTGTAATTTTCCAGTATAACTAAAAATCAAAATTGCCAGCTGATATTATACACATCTCTCATATAGAAATTAACTAAAACTCAATTAATGGTTTTCGATACTTATATTAAAAAGTTAATTTATGACATCATGTAAATTAGGCTTTGTTATGGACCAGTGTGGCTGAAAGTTGGGTTTTGCTGACAGTTTTTGGTGAATGTTGAATTTAAAAGGTCTTTCTAGCACTTTGGGTGCTGACACTTTGTTACAGACAGATAGACAGACATGGCCAATGATGGTTTCTTTTTTGCTTTGTAAAGAGCGCCTTATTTATGAATAAATATGGAATATTTCTTCATAATGACAACCAGGAAGAACTACTTCTGACTTGCTGATATGTGGTAAGTACTGGTTTTAACTGAGAAGAGCAATAAATTATAGGTCCCAAAAATTTTGATTTGAAATTTTGCCAATGGCAACAATAACTTTTAGATCTTACTAGGATGTTGCACTTAATGATGTCTAGTTTTGTCTAGTAACAATTGGTGGTAGCATATTTCAGGTTTTATTGTTCCATATATATATATATGGAGAGGGAGAAGGAGAGAGAGTTTTGCCAGGTCTCTCAAACTTGGTTTCAGCTTCAAGATACACCATACTGATAGTCATAGCTTTTGACAAGTGTGCCAGTATTGTTCACTTGTTTGCTGGTATGCATACTGGCTAAATGCCTTGTTTTAAGATTTGTGACAGGAGAATGTTTGTGAATTTTGTAAAATCACAGAAGTTCATCTCTTTCACTGGTGAGGCTGGTTGGATGTTTATATTTATATATTTTTATTCTTTAGCTGACTTTCATTAATTATACAAATAAGATACTTATGAGATCATCTTGCTGTCTGTGAGTGTGTGTGTCTGTGACTGTGTCTGGACCAGTGTTACATCAAGGAATTTGATCCCATCTCAACAGCATATTTCATAAATCCCACCCATCAGTAATACCAACATTACAGTCCCTTAAATTTATGATTGAAAACATTAATATTGCTTACATGTCTGTACCAGTCTCCATGAAACTTGTTATATATCATGCCACATGAAGTCACCTCAGCAGTGTATTTCATAAATCCTTTTGATCAGTAATACTATCACTGCAGCCTCTCACATTTCTGAGACAAAACCTTAATATTCTTTGAATGCCTGTACCAGTCTTCATGAGACTTGGTATGTATGTATCACACCACTGAGGCCATCTCAGGGGGGTACATCATGAAACCTCATAAGTAATACCAACACCATAGCCTTAGAGGTTATTGAGGTAACACCTTTAATATTACTTGAATTCCTGAATCATTTGTCATGAAACTTGGTGTGTATATGTCAAGACATCTGAGGTCATCTCAACGGCATACATCATATGTCGAGGTAATAACTTTAATATTACCTGAATGCCCAAAGCAGTCTTCATGGAATTTTGTATGTATATCATGCCAGCTGAGGCCACCCCAAAGTTGTATTTCATAAATCACTCGTATCAGTAATAAAAACAGTGCATCCTCCCAAATTGTATATTTTTATTAACTTTATTTTGCATACATACTAAGTTTTCTTTCTGCTTATATCAGATGCTCAAATTACAGTGAAAGGAAAGTAGGTAATTAATTCTTCCAGAACTCCTTGTTTATAGACACATGGTCACCAAACAGAATAGTTTTCTATTATTAAGAGTTATGCAATCTATAAGAAATCAGTTCAGTTCAGTTTTATAATTAAAACATAGTCCATAAAATATATTGTTTGAAGTGTGAGAACTGTATCTTAGTTTGTGTTATTTTAAGAAGAAATACAATTTTTCATAATAAATTATCATTATATCCTATGTGGAGTTGTGTTAGAATATCTCCACTGTAACCCTGCAAGTCATAGAAGGTGATGAAAAGTGAATCCGGTGCATAGGGCCTAGGCCATCCTGTCACTGGGATACATAAATACAGGGACCTGGTACTATAGGTTGGGGGTTGGATGCAAGGCTCCCAACCTTGCTCTCTAAGAAAATTTTTGTGAAATCCAAAAAAGTGAAAACTGGCTGGTCTTTTTCAGACAAATATGGTAGAATTTTCTACGGATGGCTATGGATCATAAAGGGCTGTTTTGACGATGATGAGGATGGTGATGATGATGATGAGGAGGAGGATGGTGGTGATGAAATTTGTATTCATATGAAATTATCATTACAGNACGGATGGCTATGGATCATAAAGGGCTGTTTTGACGATGATGAGGAGGGTGGTGATGAAATTTGTATTCATATGAAATTATCATTACAATCATATTGCTACAAAAACATTATGTTTTGTTATTGCTGTTCTTGTTGTTACAGAGTGTCACAACCAGTCAGCAGGTCACCTTCAGATGTGGAAAGTTTAATTGATTCTGCACCTCCTAGCTTAGGTTCAACCAAAAATAGCCTGGGGAAGGATGTACAGTTTGGTATAAGAAGGCTCATGGAAGATTTAGGTATTCTCATTTAGGTTCACTCTAATATTTTACCCTGAATAAAGAAACATTTTCTACAAAATAAACAAAATCTTCTTGAACTTCCTAATATAACTAGAAGGGAACATTTTGGGAACCAAATTTTTCGAAACTTCTGAATGGCTCTTTAACTACAGTATTTAATTTCCAAATGATATGTAAATATATCTTTAAATCAGAACTTGTACGCAGTTTCAAAATGGGGAGAAAATGAGCACCATATGTATCAATACTTTATTGTACTACAAAGTAAGAGAACTTTAAACCGGCAGTTTTCTTTCAACACATGACAGGAAGATTTCTACATTAATGACTTTTAAGGTTTGTTGTATCTTCTAATATTGAATATATACACATTATATTCTAGACTCTGGACGGTCAACAATGAGAGACAACATGGATATGGACAGTGACAAATCTTTGCAAGAAGAACTTCTTAGGGTCACCACTGGACAAACTGGCCATTCTGAATCTGACAATGAAGAATCACATAAGGTTTGTTCAATGTTATTTTAAGTTTGAAACATAGAGTAATTAATGCAGTGGACATAGAATTATAATATTCTGAACTGAGAAAACTGAGGTTCCTCCTATCCCTCTATGAGGAGAAAATATTAATTAAGATTTTATACTCTCACAACTTTAAAATTGTCAGAAAATAATATCTGATTGACAGATATTTTGATAATAGTTTCATAGTTACTTAATGCACAAATTCTAATGTAAAACTGTACGTATTTCCCTTCCTATGAAACATTAGGACAGTGACCTGAAAACAAGAGGTGATCACTTTCCATTCTCAATAACAAAAACTCTGCACTTCAGTAGTTAAATAAACTAATACATAAGGCACATATTTTTATTTCCCACAAAACCATACCTCAGTAACTCACAAAAGTAAAGGATGTAGGACTTAAAAGTCACCTGTTTATTTGGTGATAATGAATTTTGTCTGTCCACCCTTACAGTCTTAATTCATTGAAATACTGTTCCCTAAAAGTTCAGTATGTTGCTGTAAATTTAGTCATATGTAGGTCATTTCAGAAATAATGCACAATTTTTTGTTTATGTCCATGTTTATTTTTTTTAATATCTCTTTACAGTCCTTCAATATAGTCCCCCTGCTTCTCAATGACCAAGTCCCAACGTGTGCGAAGCTTTACTATTCCATCCAGGACACCATCTTTGTTTATCTGTTGAATGGCTCGGGTAATTGCAGCAGAAAGCTCTTCCAGAGGGAAAACGATGGCCTTGCATAGTCAACGTCTGGTGGACTCATGTCTGGGCTGTAGGGAGCATGAGGCAACACCTCACAACCATGTTGGTGTAGCTTTTCTGTTACGACATTCCTGATGTGCGGGCGAGCGTTGTCATGGAGAATGATCAGTCCAGCCTTGAGCAACTGACGTCGGTTTTTGTGCATTTTTCTGTGCAGATTTTGCATAAAGTCACGATAATAAACTGTGACACTTTTCCCGCATGGAACTGTGTCATGATGATTCCTTGGTGATCATAAGCAAAGATCATCTATCATTTGTTTGACCTTTCATTGAGATCATCAAAATTTTATTGGTTGTGGGGAAGATGGACCTCTCCACTCGGACTGATTTCAGCTCCAGTTCAAAGTCTCTAACCCATGTTTCATCAATGCCGACAAGTCTATACAAGAATGCTTGACCTGCAACGTCAAATCTTTGTTTCAGCAAGGTTGCAATGTCAAGGCGTTTCTAATTCTCTTCAGCAGTCAAGCAGTGAGGGACCCATCATGCAGAAATCTTTCTCTTCTTTATATTTGTCAGAATTCGGAATATTGACGGAATCCCCGTGGTTTCAGAAAGTTCCTCACATGTCACATGACGATCCTCTTCAAGAGCATCTGGCACAAGTTGCACACTTCATTCATCTGTTGATGTTTTCGGCCTTCCTGGCTTTGGGTCATCGTTTATGCTCACATGACCGCTGCGAAAACGACTAGCCCAGCGAGAAACTATGCTACGGTCCACTATTAACTCACCACAAACATCACTTAAAGCACTGGATTTCTGTCTGGTTTTCTCCATGTAAAGTTTCGATCCTAATGTATGAACTTTTTGATCTTCAGCAGTCACAATAACTTACATTATTTAAGAACAGTACATCATAAATGAAACAAAACAATGTGCTTCTTTCTAAAGCCCTGTGAGGCTCCCTGTTGCACCATCTAATCGCAGTGTTGCTAACCTGTGCATTATTTATGACATGACCCACATACACCAGATATTTAGGTCACAGTGACGGAGAGAGCCAACCTCTTAACAGTCAATGAATTAGTTGTGTATCCATCCACGATAAAGAAGGAAACGATTTCACTGATGATAAAGATTTTTCGTCCTAACGCTATGCCATTGGAGTGCAGCATAATGCCATAATATGTGATATTGAGTGATGATTTGTATCACCGTCGCGGATGAGGAAAGTCGTGAGGTGGGAGCGGCGTTTTCAAAAGAATCTGAGCTATGACGTAGCAATATACCGTCGGAATATAAGAGCATAGAATGGTATTATGGGTTGAAAAACAGTGAAAACGCTGAATTTTATAGATAACGCCATATTTGGATTGATATTCCATGTTTCGACAGTCCCTTATTACGTTCCGTTAAATAACAGCCTCGTAAACGACGTCACTCTTAGGTGTGCGCAATGAACTACTGCGCATCCGCCTGTAACAAAGGGGTAACATTCGCTGATGTTAGGTTGGGTTAGGTTAGGTTTGCGCAGTAGACTACTGCGCATCCATCTGTAACTTGGAGGGGGCGAAGCTCAGTAATTGACGCTAATATTAGGTTGTGACGTTACATTATGACAGGTGTGCACAATTGACTACTGCACATCTTTATGCTGATTTGGGTACTGTTTAGACGTCGGCAATATCTTACGATTGAATGTCTCTGATAGCGTTTGAAATCGTATATTTATACGGGACATTTTATTTCCGAATTTTCTCAGATGATAAACTCTTGCGTATATGTTTCTGTTAAACTCTACGTAATCTATGAAACCTGGAATATATTACGTAATTAATAATGGTCGTACATGCATTTTTTCCGAAATATTGACATTTGAGAACGCTCTCACACGCGTGATATCGGTTATTTTCATTGACCCTTGCAATTTCCAACAGTTCCCGAAATATTCACTTTTCGATTGTTCCCATTTTTAACTTTATTATTATGTTTTCGACTTATGTGAAAGATATACATATACTTTATATGAAAGGTATCCACCCCACTATACTAGGCTCAAATATTAGATAGGGAAGTCAGTGATTACGATCTGAATTAATAAAATATTCAACATTCTTCTAAGCATTAAAACAAAAAACTTACAGATCACTATATATGTTGTAGACTAAACTATAAAATACAATTACAATAATGTCAGCTGTAACAACTGGTTCTTTTCTGTAAACAATAATTCTGTAAGCAGTGTAGTAGATGGAAAGAAAATAATTCTGTGAATCTGTACACTACCTGCTAGCACATGTAAGCCTGGAAGATTAGAGGCAAGAATGCTATCCGCTGTCTGTAACACTGAAATACACATGTAACTTACAAATCACTTGCCATCATTCTTCGTGCTATAACACACACTCTACACACCACTGTGCAAATTTTACCGTCATTGAACAGTATTTCCAGCAGAACACCAATGATATCATGTGTTTCACTTAGCAAAGCACCTTGTTATAAGGAGGAATTCTTCATGCAAACAAGATATGCACATAAAACGGGAAACTTTTGAACCCATTGTGGGTGAATGGAAATGTTAATATTCTTGAAAACACTACAAAACCTCGCTACACATCACTGTATATATTATACACGAAAATATAACTTCACACTAGATAATTTAAACTTCACTTTTCACTCGACATTATTGTGACGAAAACAACATAGGATATACCCACCGGCCTCTGTCACACAGAGACATATTCACACGAGATGATTAATAGTAGTGCTAGAATAACATCAAAGACACATTGTCTTTCACCACACAACCACGATTCTTACATGCACTTACTTTCTTTTAATAAACGAATGTACGTTATGGTGTATTCTTCCTTCTCACACATACTTCAGTTTAATGATTGAGAGGGAAAGCACTTCGATTTTGTTGTGGAACAGAGGAAACACATGTTTGTAAAATTTCGTGCACTCGCCATTACTTGGTCCATGATAATACACACAAAAAAGTGTACCATTTGCACTATTTCACTGAATCTTTGAAGTTATACTTTAAGGCAGATAATTAAATAGATCTTGTGTATATATGTATATAAATATACACACATAACACCGTCTTATTTTTAAAAAGAACTCTTCATATCAGGAAAGAAACGTACCTTGGTTTTGTATACCGGATATTTAGGTCACAGAGACAGGGCAGCCAACCTTTTAACGTGACTGAAACAAAAACATTCCATTATCTGTTAGATTCATTCATCAGTAATCTGTTAAGACGACAGGTCCACAGTCTCTTCCAAAACAATTCCTCCACTTGATGAGATCTAGAGCTTCCTCCTTCAAATGAAAATATCCTCTTCTGTCGCCAAGGTCATCCAGCATCTTCTTCTTCTTCCTCGTCTTTTCGTCACTTCTATCCACCCCTTTACCTGCTAGCCCATGTAAGCCTGGTAGATTGGACGGCAAGAATGCAATCCATTGTCTGTCAGACCGAAATACACCTGTAACTTACAAATCACTTGTCATCATTCTTCATGCTATAACACATACTGTACACACCACTGTGCACATTTTACACTGTCATTGAACAGGTTTACCACCAGAACACCAATGACAACATGTGTTTCACCCGATATACTACCTTATTATAAGCAAGAATTCTTAATGCAAACAAGATACAGTGGAACGTAGCATAACATGCATAATTCGTTCCAGAATCTTACTCATAATGCGAAACACTCTTTACGCGAAACAATTTTTCAAATATAAATTAGTTTAAAATACCATAATGCTTTCCATGCCCCCCAAAAATACTCAAAGAATTTTAGATATAACGTTTATTGAAAGAAAATTATATATACATTGTTAGGGAGTGTGAATCGTTTTTTCTTTCATGCGGAATGTACCAACCTGGAGTGCAAATTCGATTTGCAGAAAACAAAAATTCGCAATAATTACTTTATTATTTATGATACATATTTTTTTTTACTAGAAAGCTGTCTACAGACATTTGTTTTTGCAGACGCTTTAAAATTTGGTGAAAATGCAACACAGCATTATTTCTAAATAAATTTGGAGCTTGCATAGCCACTGCCTTATTAGGGCGATGCTTCTCAATGTACGATGCAACAGTTTCCCATGTTTTCAGCATTTCTCTTATTGCGCCCGAAGATTATTGCTTTGCTGTTACCTCCTACTCCTCTGACAAACTCTCCTCCACAACTTCTTGCTGTGAAACAATGAAACTCCGTAAGCTCTTCGGTGGTCAGCTCTTGGCTGTGCTCTTCCACAAGCTCATCGATATCACTGTCATCCACCTCCAGCCCCATGATCTTCGCCAAAGACACAGTCTCGTTGACTACAGGCTCCACAGGTACTATCTCAAACCCCTCAAAGGCACATTCGACAATGCTCACCGGCCAAAGCTTCTTCCAAGCAGAAGTGAGGGTTCCCTTGGTAACCCCTTGCCACGCCTTTTCGATCATCTTGAGGCAGGCAATGATGTGGAAGTGATATTTCCAAAACTCTCTGGGTGTGAGATTGGTCCCTTCAGTCACCTCAAAACAACGCTTGAAGAGTGCTTTAGTGTAAAGCTTCTTAAAGTTAGAAATAACCTGCTGGTCTATAGGCTGAAGTAACGGAGTGGTGTTGGGAGGCAGAAACTGGATCTTGATGAATTTAAATTCTTCAGGGTCATCTTGTAGGCCTGGAGGATGGGCAGGAGCGTTGTTCATAACAAGCAAGACATGGAGTGGCAGATTGATCTCAAGCATATATTTTTTCACAGAAGGACCAAACACTTCATTGATCCAATCAGTAAAAAGGTCACGTGTTGTTGTTGGACCTCCAAATCACATTTCCCTTGCACTTCTGGACTTTACACTTCTTGAAGGCTCATGAAGTTTCTGAATGGTAAACAAGCAGCGGTTTAATTTTCAAATCGCCGCTTGCATTGGCACAAAATAGCAGAGTGAAACGGTCATTCATTGGCTTATGGCCGAGCAATGCATTATCCTCTGTTGTTATATAGGTTCGCTTTGGCATCTTTTTCAAGAAGGGACTCGTCTCGTCACAATTAAAAATCTGTTGTGGCAGGTAACCCTCAGAATCTACGAGGTTCTTAAAGTCGCCGATGAAGTTCTCTGCTGCCTTTGTGTCGGAGCTTGCTGCTTCACTGTGTCTTACAACGCTGTGGATGCCGGTTCTTCTCTTAAACTTCTCGAACCACCCACGGTTTCCCTTAAATGCTTCTTCGGCCATTGATGATCCTGGCGTCCTCTTAACGAGGTCGGCGAAAATCACTTTCGCCTTCTCACAAATGATGTTCTCGTTAATAGTGTCGTTTTGCAATTGTGTTTCGTTTATCCATATGAGGAGCAACCTTTCAACATCGTCGAGAATACGTAACCGTTGCGTAGATATTCTTGCCACACCCTTTGAAGCATCTGTCTCCTTAATCTTGCCCTTGTTCTTGAGGATAGTGCAAATCGTTGATGTAGACCGAGTGTATGTGCGTGCTAGATCAGCCACGCTCACACCTTGTTCTCGCTTTTCAATAATTTTACGTTTCATTTCTACGGTTATATTTATTCTTATGGCTGTTTTTTGCGGCTTTTTCGCAGGGGACGTTTTTGCAAGGGTTATTAAACTTTGCACAAAAAATCACAAATAATATGTCTGAACACAAGTTTGGAAAAATGTGTGATCACAAGCGACACTAAGATGCTAGCGGAAACGAGTGCTAAACACAGACTGATGTAGCAAGCGCAGAATCCGGGACTTCCCCTCTCGTCACTCGTTATGCGAGTCATTTTTTTTTACAATTTGTTTTGGTCGTTATGCCAATTACTCGTTATGAGAGGTGCTCATTAAGGAGGTTCCACACACTCAACTCTCAATTATCCGGGATAATGGTGGGGATGGAAATCACGATTAATCGAAAACCCGGTTAAGACAAATTTTATTAAACGTGTACTGTAATACTGTACCTTCATAATATACTATAGGCCTACCTGTATTTAAATTTATTCAACCTCATTTTTATGTCATCTCATGGCCTATTTAATACTTTTTTTACATTACACTGAAGTACGAGGGGGGACCCAAAAATAACCGGAATTTATTTTTGTTATTTTTTATTTTTGCATTTTTATTGAACTGTATATTAGTCCCCTTCAAAGTATTGTCCATGTGCATTAATGCACTTGTCCCAACGCTTTTGCCACTGCTCAAAACAGTGCTGGAATTCTTGAGGCTGGATACTGTTCAAAGCCTTTAGCGTGTTTTCTTTGACTTCATCCACATCACGGAATCGCTTTCCTTTCAGACTTCTCTTCATCCGTGGAAACAAAAAAAAAGTCCAACAGAGCCAGGTCGGGTGAGTAAGGTGGATGAGGCACAATCACCATGTTGTTGCTTGTCAAAAACTGTCTGACTGTCAAAGCTGTGTGGGCTGAAGCATTGTCGTGGTGAAGCAACCAGTTCCCATTTCTCCACATTTCGGACCGTTTTCGTCGCACACTCTCTCGTAATCTTCGTAACACATCCAGGTAAAAATGTTGGTTCACTGTTTGTCCTGGCGGAACGAACTCTTTG